AAATTAAAAGACTTGAAACTCTAAAAGAATAATAATAAAAGTACAACTTAATGTAATATTCTGAGGAGATATTTTGCAATGAAAATGATATGCGAAGAGGTGTAACAAAGATATATAATGTATCGACATTCTTTCGAAAATGAATTATAGCGTTGATGAGGAGCTCCGAACATTTGAATCACCACCTGCAGAGAATTTTCATTGACGGGAAGCTGATGAGGGAGGAATCCATTTCCCCAGAGGTTTTGAAATGCTTTAGTTTCTGCCTAAGTTATTCATTCTATTTGTAACAAAAAAATTATATATATGAATGAGCCGATTAAATTACCCTATAAATGATGTAAATTGCTTTATTAAAATTGATCCCAAATAATTTAATTTTTCAAACCAAACTCAGCTCGCATAGTTAAAGAATAATATTGAATTAAACTCAAAATAAAATTTCGATTCAATTCAAATTATAAATTCAGCAGTGTCCCTCCATCATTCAGAACAGGGAAAAACAGAGGGAACAAACAGGGAGAGTTTGGTCAAAGGGAGTCAACACTGGCACAAGTCAGCCTCCCACGAAACACAAGGTCTGATCCCACACGGGTGGCACTGACGAAGAGAAATAAAAATAAAAATTCAATTGTACACACTTTCCCAAGTCTGATATTTCACACGAATGGGGCGTGTCAGAGGTGCACGTGTGCCTACATTCAACGTTTTGCTCCTTTTTGACAGTGACTCTGAATAGAAAGAGAAACAGATCAATTTAACCCTCACATGCACCCTCTGAAGTTTTTGGATCCCTTTACTATTCACTTTCCTTTTCATAAATATCATATTAAAAATAAATGTTTTTTAATACTTTGTAATAATTAATTATAAGAGTAATATATATTTATAATATTTATTAATTATTGATAATGTATATATTCTATAAATATAATTAATTAAATATAGAATTTTAAAGAAAAATATCATTCTCTTAAAGCTTAAATCGTTGAGACCACTCAATAAATTTAATTTTTTTTAACATTTATTTTACTATTTATATTTAAGATCTATGATTACGAATAAACACGAAGAGGATAGATCAATTATTCAATTATCTTGATAGTATTTTAAAAATTAAAGGCTTTCATTTTTTTAGGTTTATTTGATATTTAATAATGTTTTACTCGTCCTGAATTTTAAGATAAAAAATTATTATTATCTTGTTATAATCTTTTTTTTTATTCGCGAAGAGAAGAAAATATTTGAATGAATATATATATAAAATATTATAGTAATGATATCTAAATTACGTGGTCAATGTGTAATTTATCTTAACTTTTATTATATTATACAATATAAATTAATTTCATTCAACATGTTTAAATTTTTGTCTATATCCTAAATTTGTTTTTAAACTTCAAAATAAGATGCTTAAATCTTTGAAGTTTGAAGTATTTTGTGAGTTTAAATATCTAGATTTTTTTTCAAAGTTAGAAAAATTGCAATTGTTTGAGCTAAACTAAATTAGATTTAAATTTATTATAAAATAAAAATATTTTATATTTAAGATTATGAAAACAACTTAAAATATTGTACAAAACTGGTTTTTCAAAATATACTATATACGAGTTATTGATTTTCTATTTATTTATAATTTTTTTAAATAATTATAAAATAACTTTTAACTAGATTTATTTGTACGTTCAATTATTCTTTGTAAATATTCCACAAAATTCATGATTACGACACTAAAATGATTAAGGTTTTAACTAAAGATGTTAAATCATGATTAACACAACAAACACAAATTAAAAAAAATATGGTGGCGTTATAGGGATTTTAGTGCCATTGTTTCATTGACGATGATTGATGACGGTGGCACTTTTGCATGCTACTTGGACCTGTCTTTTTTGAACACGTGGCTAAGAATGTTACTTCCCGACATGCTCCGACATTGACACGTGTGAAACGATGGCCCGTGTAATGATTTTCGCCTTTACAGCCCATCAATATCATATGAATAGTTAAATGTATAGAAGGCTAAAATGATACTCTCTATGCTCTATATAATTATGTCTAACCATAAAAAAGAACATATAATTATGCCTTGGAAAATGGCTTTTATCTAACTTTTGGTATTATATAATTTTGAAAAAAGTTATAGAATATCTTATCATATGAAAATAATACGAACAAGATGTAAATATATTAATAAAAAGTAGATTCTATTATAACCACAATGTAAGTGAAAAATATTTTTGTATAAAACTTACTCAATATTATCATAAGTGAAAAGGTAAAAAACTTTCATAAATCAAAGGATAAAGTAGATAAAATATCACTCAACTTTTAAAAGTTATAAACGATTATTAAATTTATTGAGTTGTTATAAAATGATCATTTTGATATTATAATAAATGTAATAAAATAACAAATTTAGTGAACATTATATAGTAATTTGATAAAAATATCATAAACATTTTATAATAGTTCAATACATTTAATAATCATTTTATAATTTAAAAAATTCAATGATCAAAACAATCATTTGAATATAATTCAATTATCTCTTATATAAAAATTAGCTGACCCTATTCCAATGTGTAATGAGGTAAGGGGGAGGTAGGATAGTAGGTTGCCCCCAACGTCAGGTTAAGAGCAACTTCCGTGGGAGACATCCGGCAGTCAGAATTATGAATTGCCCACCGTGGGACTCGATCTCACGACCACAAGGTTAAGAGCCTTGCGTTGTAGATAACAAAATCAAAATCACTAATATACCATACCATAAATCAAAATCACTCCCGACTAATAAATCAAAAAAATATTACATACTTAACTAGACTTGAATTCACACCATCTTATATCGAGATAACAACAATTTCACAAAGGGTAAACTACCCATTTAATCACCCACCTATTATTTAGTTTCTGTTTTAGTCACTCAACTATTATTATTTTCAAAATCACACCTAACTTTACATTTTGGTTCTTTTTTAGTCACCCACCATTAATTTTTTTAACGATGATACTGACGTTAGAAAAATTAACAGTTACATATACTTTTGAAAAAAAATTCATGTATGCATAATCCTTAAAAAAATTAACAGCGGATAACTAAAACATAATCAAAACGTAATGTTAGATATACTTTTGAAAAAATAATAGTTAGATGAACAAAACAAAAATTAAGTAATAAGTAGGCGACCAAATAGATAGTTTACCCTTAACTTAAAAATTATTTTATTTAAAGATAATATAAAACTATACAAATTATAAAAAACATGAGTGTGTTGCATGTACATTAATTGTTAGAGTTGAGCCAAAGCCCTGATAGGTTTTGGGTCATTGTTAGAATTGCAAATGGCCCAACATTGTTGAGAATAGAATCTGATGGATGCATATACGATGACTTTTGGTACGTCAATAATTCATATGATACAGCTTTCCCTAGATGGATTCTTGCCCTTGCAGTTCAACGAGATCCACGTAGTTTCATCCTGCCGAAGCTTGCAATTGATGGTCAGCATCACATGCCTGTAAAACCATATGCCATAACTGATAAATTTTATAACTTTAAGGGTCGAAAGAGTAATTTTGTTGAACTAAATGAGCCATGACTTGAATGTTGGAGTAAAATCCGATTCGTATTTTAATCAAATTTATTTTTTATTTAAATTCTCTCAAAATTTAAATAAACCTCCCAATTTAAGAGGATAACTCAATCTTCGAACATATTGTCTATCAAAAACAACTTTGAAGCACTGCTGTTATATTCTCTATGTATATTTTTAAGATAGCCTTGAGAAACCAAGTTGCCTTTAAGTGACCTAAATTAAAGTAATTATTATATTCTCTATGTGTATTTTCTGTTGGGGATTTGAATTCAAAATGAGATAAAGACTGGTGTCATACCTTTCGAAATGGTCTCTCTTTGAATCTTCTGCTATCATACATCCCTTAAACATAAACTTCTAACTAATTATAGGGGATAGACAAAATCCTTGATAAACAAAATTTTTTATAGACCTATGTGATACTTCATAACTTTGTTTGATCATTAGATCCGTCCAGTCTGAACAACCTACATATAACTATCATTATCCTACTGATATATGCATTAAAGACTACTATAAATATCTACAATCAAGATTGAAAAAAAGGGTTGGACTCCCCGTAACAGGCCGACCCTCTTTCTCTCTCTTTCAAACACTGATCCACGATCATTGTTCTTTTACCGATCGTGACTCTCTGTCTAAACCAAAAGGAGTAACCCACTCACAGACGACGAGCCTATCATATTTCGATCAACAAGTGGTAAAGGAAAGTATGCACAAACAAAATGATATGAATTTAAGGAACGTTATCTATAATATGTGCGTGAATTTTATCCAAAACTAAAAATACGACGGATGCTATTATAAAATCATATACAAAATCTTAAAAATATATATTAATTTAAACATTATATAACGTTTAAAAACAAAAATTATGACATCCTTCAAGTTAAATTTATCTCCTATTACAAAACAACCTAATTGTTTGTTTGGTTTAAGGAATACTTGAGCCTATCGTGGAAAATAATTCCGAAATATCCCCACAGAATAATAAGGTGAAGAAGCCATCAACCATATCCAGCCTCACCCATTGATGGATAAGGCAGAAATAAGGACCCTAAAATTCTCATTCCGATCAATTTGATTAAAAAAAACACTAATGGTCAAATTATGCTTTTGATCCCTTTAGTATATATATGATAAAATTCTAAATATATAATTTAATTTTTTTACTTTTATAATATTATTAGTTAGTCCAAATTGTTAACATCATTAACTATTCACGTTCAAATATTAATAGCCTTAATTATTGGGACTAACTAGTAATATTATAAAAGTAAGAAGATAAAATATTGTAAGTATAAAGACTGAATTCTAAATTTTAATATAGTAGAGAGACCAAAAGTAAATTTGGCCGAAACTAAAAGGATATTTTTTTATACATGTTACTGTCGATATTCAAAACATAATATATTATTGCACAAATTTGTAGACCCAATATCCTCTAGCAAGACCCAACCACCACCACCAAAGCCTTGTCTTCAGTCATGGCTACCACCACAGCTGCCACCGTGTCACATTTTTTCGGGACCCGTATCCAAAACTTTAACCAAGGCTCCGGCAGAATCCAAGCTAGGTTTGGCTTTGGATTTGGAACCAAGAAAGCACCACCACAACCAAAAAAGGCCGCCCCGAAACCACCATCAGACCGTCTCGTTTGGTTCCCCGGCGCGAACCCACCGGAATGGCTCGACGGGACAATGATCGGAGACCGAGGGTTCGACCCTTTCGGGTTTGGCAAACCGGCTGAATACTTGCAGTTTGATTTGGACTCGTTAGACCAGAACTTAGCCAAGAATGAGGCTGGTGATATCATAGGGGTGATTAACGAGACGGCTGAGCTGAAACCGACGCCGTTTCAGCCGTACACAGAGGTATTCGGGTTGCAAAGGTTTAGAGAGTGCGAGCTGATTCATGGGAGATGGGCAATGTTGGGTACTCTTGGTGCTATCGCTGTTGAGGCAATCACCGGAGTTGCATGGCAAGACGCAGGAAAGGTATGTCGTTTAACGTACTTGCATTTGCATGCCATTTTTAACTAATTTTTGGGTAAACTAAGTATTTAGTAACCTACAGTTCTGTTTAAGTCACCTATTTATTTGTTTTTTCAAAATCATACTTACCATTATATTTTTATTATGTTTTGGTCACATCATCATTAGAAAATAAACAAAATTACTGACGTGATATTTTTTTTATTTTTTAATGATGATGTGAAGTTATCTTATAGTGACATGTAAGTAATACCGTTAAATATTTAATGGTGGATGAACAAAATAGAATTGGAATATAACATTAAGTATGATTTAAAAAAATTTGTTGGGTGACTAAAACGGACTGCTAGAATAGGCGAGTGACTAGAAATTTAATTTATCCTTAATGTTAATATCATTTTATTCAAGATTATGATTGTCATTCTAATTTAATTAAATATATACTTTTTGTTCAAAGTACCAAAATTGAGTAATTTTAATATATATCTAGAGTCTATAATATGTCATAATGTTAAAATGAGACTAATCTTTTGTGACCTTTGTATATATATAATTTAGCGGTAAAGTAATTTTTAGTCCATGAGTTTAGTAATTTTTTAACTTAGTCCTGGAATTTAGCTCAAGAGTATAGGTGAAATGAGTGGAGGAAAAGATTGATGTGTTAAAAGATATCTGCATTTTGGAGGTATATAATTAATGGGTTCACTTTCATTCATAAAGCAAAATTTGATCTTTTGGAACCATTTGAAAACTACATCAATGGCAGTTTTCCACAAACCATATCTTTCTCTCTTTCAACACAATCGTGTCTTCATATGATTCAAGCAAAATCTACGATTTACAGTGGCCGACATTTTGACATTGATAAATGTCCATGCCAATATCATAGATGACAAAGTTCTTTTTATTATTATTATTATTATTATTATTTAAAATATGCTAAATGTCCTAAAATGATCGTCTCGATCATCAAACTTTTAGAAATTATACAATAATCATTAAATTTATCGAATTTGTACACCTATTATAACATCACAGTGATTATTTTATAACATTTTTATAAATTGAATTACCATTTTATAACCTTTGAAAGTTTAATGATCAAAACAACTATTTGAGTATAGTTACCTTGATATACTTTACCCTTATTATTTTATATGCTGGTTTTTTCTCTTTGTTCCATGACCCCAAATTTATATGGTTACTTTTACTATGTGGCCTACATTTTAATTTGATATGACATGGATGATGATGGGAGAGGTTCATACCCCAATTATTTTTAGTTCAATTACGTTAGAAATTTTTGTTAATTTTAAAATTAATGAAAGTAAATTTTAACTTTTAATTTTTTTTTATTTAATTACCTTATAAGTTTATGTGAGTTCTGAAACTAAACCAATTAAATTATAGTTTTCATTTTCTCGTTCAAATACTTTTTAGTTCCTTATCAAAATTTTGAAATTAAACTACTTTTATATTAGGTCATTGTGTGAAACTCGTATATTAGGTAAAGTGTGTTTAAACAAATAAACATACCTCCTAAATTTGATTAAAACTACTTATTTTCTTAACGTACCAAATCCAAATTATCTATGTAATAGGTACATACCTATTTATAATTTGATCCACGTGTTATCCGAACTAACATTTGACGTCCAAATAATAGTTAGATTAATGGAAAAACATGACTGATACAATATCAAAACTTTGAAGATGCAGTTAAAATGTTTTGAAATATAGAGATAAATTTAAATGAGAAATTAGTGCGTATTAAAATGGTGATTTTGCTTGCAGGTAGAGTTAGTGGAAGGATCCTCGTACCTTGGGCAACCACTTCCATTTTCATGAGCACATTGATATGGATTGAGGTATTGGTGATCGGTTACATTGAGTTCCAAAGGAATGCAGAGCTTGACCCTGAGAAGAGGCTCTACCCCGGTGGCTACTTTGACCCACTTGGCTTAGCCTCCGACACCGAGAAGTTCGATACACTCAAGCTGGCCGAGATCAAGCATTCCAGACTCGCCATGGTTGCTTTCCTCATCTTTGGGATCCAAGCTGCTGTCACCGGAAAGGGTCCTATTAGCTTCATTGCTTCCTTCAACACTTGATCATCTCATTCTATTATGGATATAATGCTACGTTCTTGTCAAACACAGGCAGAAACAACAAAAAAAACCAACTACTTTTATCATTGTCGAGAATCTTATTTTTATCATTGTATGGCATCTGCATTTTCTAATTACTCGTGCTTTTCTCCTTTAAAAAGGGTCCAACGACATTTTTGGTCCTTGAATTTTTCAGAAAAAAAAATATCATTTTAATCTTTAATATTTTATCAAGTTGAATCAATTGATGGTAAAAAGAGCAAACATATAATAAAGCTGACATCAACTTAGGTTAAGTGACTCATATTGAATTTTTTTTATTAGTCTAAGGTGAATACAAGATATATATACATACACATCTTTGAACAATTTTTACTTGGGGGAGGGAAAAGAGAAATTTTTGCTCCTAATGGGCATCAAACCCGGCCCCAACTTAAAGAATATGAGAGGGGTCAACCGAAAGTTTTTAATGACTTACTCTATAGGTTGTTGACGGGTGAATACAATGTTAAACTTATATAATAGATTAGGTCAAACCTTAAATTTTGAAAACCCAAGTTGAACCCATGTTCAAATATATTTTTTGGAATTTGGATGAATCACCCGGCCAACTAATAGTGTGAATCAATTGGGGGGTTTGGAAATATGTAAAAGCTTTAGGAGTAATATTTGAAAACTCGTGATTTATGTACATTTCACATTGACAGATTCTTTCAGGAAACTTCCCTTGATGAAGAAGAATCAGTACAAAGGAAGGAATATCCATCATGAATGCCGAGTAAATAATCAGAAATATAGAAATATACTTTGATTTTGTCTATAAACATATGGTATGCATGCGTCGAGTTAGATTTAGATTAGGTTCATATATTATATTAATATCATATAGAGTTGTACAAGTTTATTTTAGTCAAAATATAAGATCTCAAATACCAATTTATATTGGAATTCAACTCGATTCATATTTTAAGTAGGTTTGATAATTCAGTCCCAATTCATTTTCGGATTTAATATTTTTGTTTAAACTCTCTCAAATACCGAAACATTCTTACCAAATCACTATCAAAACTTAGTATATCCCTCGGACATATCTAATATGGTTGATGTTGCTAATATATATTTTCCGAATTCTGGCTATAAAACACATGGATGGAATGATGCAGATGAAGTTTGATTGACAATGGATTCTGGTTATATAACAATTGTAAACACAAGTTGGAATCGTTAATTTTAATTTTGCTCATTTCCAACTTCACTAAATATTTTTGTTGAGACTCCAACTTCCGTTTTTAGACACAACATTAACGAATACTCAACTAATTAAATCAACATAAATTGTGAAAGTAACCACAATAAGGAAGAAGGGGTTAGAGGAAAAGAAATTTTTGCTTAAACTGGCAAAGCAAATCTTATTTGAATGGCATATAATTGTCACTACAACAGTAAAGCATAAGCATAATTCAGTTCGATTTTGTCAAACCAAGAGAACATGTCGGATACGTACAGGAGAGGTAGATGCACGTACCTACTAAGGAATCTTTGATTCATTAAATAAATGGATTGAAGTGATCCCTACTCCAGGTAAAGCTTAGAAGACTTGAAGATACATTGATTCAATATCGGACTTCTCAAGACATCTTGTATCATAACAAATTCTTAGCCAAGTGAATAAATCATTCGCTTGGACAGCTCTACACCCACCACTCTCTGGTAGCTGCGCAATTGCGTTTCCAAGTAATTCCTTTTGGTGGGACCAAATGCTTGCTGTAGATCCTTTGCAAAGAAACCGTTAATTAGAGTACGGAACAATTATATAAGGAAAATTATCTGATACAAAGGCTGTATAAACTAAAGTTGCATCATTTTTTTGGTAACACATATTTCGTGGAGAAACTTACAAACTAGAGAAGGAAATTATGACATAAAAAGCTCGGTAAACTCCCTCTCAGGTGATTATAAAATTGCAAACATTACTCCTGTTATTATAAAGTTAGCATACAAATAAGAGCCGAGTACAAAAAGCACCCAGCATTTACTTACCTTGTATCTTAGTCGTGAACCTCTCAGTCCAACTAAAACATTAGTCAGATCGCCATTATCTATTGCGCCAGATCCCAAGCCACTTGTATCCGGCTCCAATTCATCGTCAGAGCTGTCAGATTCAATCTCAATCATCTGTTCGTCTTCACCCATAAAAACATCATTCGAGTCTTCTAGTCCATTCTCATCATGCTGCAAGTCCATGAGACTTTCTGGATTACAGGATTGGGATGACTCTCCATCTTGTAAACTGGCATAATCAGATAAGACGACGTATTTTTTTTTATCAAGTATCAGGCTTACTAAATGAAATGCAACCCACCTGGAAATATTATTTCAGCTCATAAGACTTTAAACCACCAGTATATGCAGACAGTCATAAACATATAATATGGGAACTTCAACGCTAGTTATATACAGCACGGGCAAACTAGAAGATGAATTTCGAAAACAGTCGAGAATATCAAGCAAAAACAGAGAATATGAGATAAAAAAGGTCATAAAGGAGAAAAGAAAGAAGAGATCAAGTTTAAATGCCAGGAACATTAAAAATGGAATGAATTTGAAAAATCGCTAGATGCCCCATGTTTTTGATTATTTGCTTAAGGAACTTTTAAGTTTAATACAAATGCACTATAAGCATGCATTTTATGGCATTCAAAATCCAAAATCAGCAAGTGTGTGCAAATGCACATGGTCGGTGGAGGCAGAACTTACTGGTAACGAAGAGGGCAAAGAAGCTCAGACGGGTAATATGCTGCTTTATATCTCATCTTGCTGCAGGAATGTATATAATAGCCCATATAGTAATACTGAAGACTAGCGCAATACGCTTGATTCTCTTTCACCCAACCAATCTCTTGCAAAGCTGAATATTTACCCAATGATAGATATGCATAATCAGGATCCCAGAATAAATACTTACTTGACAAGCATCTGGAAGGACGTCTACCACACCAACGGCAACTAGCTTTCCATCAATCATGTATTGCTGATGGAATGAGCCGAAGCCACATGGAGGAATCAAGCCATCAGCAGACGGGGAAACAAATATAAGGGAGTGTCAACAAGAAACCTCCTGTATGAGCTTTCTGTGACACGATCTGGTGGATCATTATGCACTTTAATTTGATATCGTTTATACAATGCATACTCTTCTGGATCGAAACTGGACCTTTTCAAACGGATCTCAAGCTTCCTCTTTTGCACTTGACAGTGTTCAGGGCTCTTCTTTGCAGGAAAGCTTTGACTTGCACTCCCATATTCTTCAGGCAAAGCAACAATTTGAACATCTCTATCTAAAGATGAACTTTTAGCGGTAGAATAAAAGTTAATATGCCCGTTGCATGCCCTACAGGACAGGCCAGAAATGTTTGCAAGCTGATTTAAAGAAAATGTCAACTTTTCGGCAATAGATTTGGGGCATAGATCAATTTCTTCTACTATTTGTGATGGTTGGCCATCCCTCTCAGCAGATCGTGTCCGCCTCAAAGTGGCTGCTATTTGGAATGCAGTGTTGCTGGTGTATAAAAGATCTTCTGACCCTTCAACTGCTAGCTTCCGTTTGGCATGTGAAACCATTTTGACGGCAGCTTTTGGAAATTGAATTCCAGATGGGAATTCCCCACTTTCAATGCATGTAAGCACCACTTTGTCTATTTGATTAGATAAATGATGCATAAACTCTTCTGCCTTATTTTCCCTTTTGTTGCCACAAGAGAAAGATTCATTCCCAGAGCTCGAGACTAAAGGCTTGACAGAGCTGCTTGTATGCTTCGAAGCATTTTGATCATCAGCAAGTTCCATTGGTTTCCTCACCTCAAGTGTGCCATCTAAAATCCTAAGCATACACTATTGTCAGAGCTTGGGATCTACACATTCCAAACGAATGTGATGAATGCATGTTCAAACATATGTCCATATTCAGAAACCCATTTTGCCCCTAGGAGTATGGTGGTTACTTGGCTCAATTAGAAGAGCTTATCTTGGATATGAAAGCATCTTCCTTTTTAGCAATACCATTTTTTTAAAACTATACTACAACAACAAAAGGTATTTGAAATTTACAATCAGAAACCAAGACAAAAACAGGTCATGCGTACGACTATACCTCTGCATTCGTCTATAAACTCGATGTTGCTCCTTAGAAGGGACAAAATCACTTGCCTTCAAACGAATAGTATAAGATGGGCAACATGTCCTTTCCATCTCAGGTTTGTAGAGGAAACAACCGGATCTTCTCCAACCACGGTCAAGAAGATCTAATAAGAAGCAATGAATAAACAGTAGTATAAAACCAACAAATGTAAATATACTCTTATCAAGCATTATAAAACAAATTAATCTCAATGATCACTGCCCCATAACACTCCTCCAATTCCAAATTATACGCATTCCTATCAACAATTTTCTTTTGCAATCAACAAAATTTCTATAGCCAAATTACACATTCCACTTCTTCAATAGAAGTTGCATGATCAAAATTTTATTTTCACAGATATAAAAAAACCGAAAGCATAAAATTCGCTCAGAAAATTCCTGAAAATATATTTAAAGAAAAAAAACCTTGATAATCATTAACTGTAAGACTATGCGCCCATAAACCTGCAAAAACAACTCCAAAAAGAAACCAAATAATAAGTAAAATCTGAAATAGTTTAGAATCCTTTAGCAATAACTAAAGTTGTTTTACTATTAATTATACCTAAATCAATAAAAATTAAGTCAATCACATCGAAATTGAAATTGAAAAAAAATCAGGAAAAAAGGGAAAAATAAAGAACCGGACCGTGAGAGATACTGGTTCGACCGGAGGATTTACAATAACCGCAGGAGCTCCTCCGGCGGCCGCAATCGACAACCAAGCTTTCTTCTCTGCTATTGCTGCTGCTCGCTTCGTTCTTCATTTTTGATTCCTTTCGCAACAAAACAAAAAGGAAAAATAGGACTTTTTAACGAATTTCAAAGCATTTTATTTCACTTTATTAAAGTACAAACGACACCGTTTCTTCTCGTTCCGTATATTTGAATTCTAGTCATATTGTTTTTATTTTTAAGAATTTAATCCATATAGTTTTTAAACTTAAAATTTTAAGTTCAATTGTTAATATAATTAAAATTGTTGAAATGACATTTTGAAGGGGAAAGAACCTAACTTGACAGTCATGAAACAGAAGAAATAACATTATATTAGACGAATTAAATAGAATAATTTTAACAAATAAGACTCGGTTTTTAGATTTGAAAAAGAGGGATTAAATTCCACCGAATTTACTAGGAACACTACCTGATAGACCACTTTCAGAGACGAGACAGGCCTGGAGCACTAAGTTCTCTGTCTTCTTCTGCTGAACTAGAACCACGAGATATGACGATACATCGATTGTTTTCGAACCTCCGATATTCAACATTTGAAAGAGGAGCCAATTGTGACGACGAACCACAAATCGAGCATCAATGTAAAAGCTAATTCGATTCGGTTTCTATTTTGTGATTAAGGGCAGCCAGAGGTAGTAGGTGCTAGACTTCGTTTCTTCTCCAATTTCCACAAGGAATCATTGAATTACTAAAGAGGCTTTCAACCTGATCTTGGAAGTGAGTATATACAGAACATTATAGCCTCGAAGGGAAGCTAAATGATTTGAAAGACAATTAGGATCCTCATGTGAGAATAATTTTCATGTTAGCTGCACATTCATAAGTGGATGAGCTCCATTGTACTCTGCTGGATTTCTTAGATTCTTTTATCGTTCATTTTAACTCGGTTCCATCTTTGATTTTCAGTGTATTCAATTTCTTTACTTACCCGTAATCTCAACATCAACTGAATAAGACCACTTCAATCTTTTATTATTATTATTATTATTTCATCTACGTTCTTATCGAGTTTTGTTCTATTAGAGAACAAACTTCAACAAACTCGATCACATCGCGAAACGCCAAAGCTTTATAACATTGCTAAATCAACAGGTAAACAGATCTCATCCTAATGCTTTCGTAAATAATCTGTGCATTAATCATTGTAAAACAAGCCGATCTACATGGCTTAAAATGCATAATTCTTCAGTACTTTTCAATCCATTTCGGAAACCTATTTCTAAACATGAATTCCCTTCATGCGATATCGAATTAGAAAAAGAAACACACTCATCCTAAATAATAATTAAAAAAACTCGTTTAACCTTTAGATATGATTAGGTAAGGTAAGCTGAAAAAAACCAAAATCTCCCACCAGCCAGCCAAATACAAGCATATGATTAGGTAAACAGAAAGGGGCATTACCTGTTCTAGGTTTCATATCTCCCTTTCCAGTCAAATCCTCTCACACTTGCATAATCTTAATTCACTTATCTTCACCGGCTGTCCTAGGATCATCAGCATCATCAGGGCATCTCGATGAGACCCCGGTTGAATTATTCACGGTTAACGAGTTCTTAGCCATATATGAATCTTCTTCATTATACCGGAACCGGCGGGCTCCACTATCTGTATCATAACACCTCACTTGATGAATCATGGCATACCTGCTGCCATGTTTACCATCATCACTGACTTCATATTTACACCCTTTACCACCACCAGCTCTATCAAGAAATCTTCTACGTTGAATCGTGGCATCGAATTAATCATTTGAATTCAATCTCCAAATGGGGCACGCTCGATCAAGCCTTTGGTCCTGCATCCTCGCATGCGATTTCCGACCCCTAAAATAGTCTAAACCAGGATTACGATCCTCAAACATCCTGGAATTTTGTTGCGGTGAAACTTGACTTCGGGGTGGGAAAATGAACTCTCCATGACCTGCACCAAATCGCTTTGTCAATGGCAGCCTCACTCTATCCATTCTAGCTTCAGACCTAAAATCTGGTGACCTATTGCGACGTCTTGAAACCTCACTACGATCCCTCGATAACCAATCAATTGGAGAGCGACTTCTCGATCTTGATCGAGCTCTCTTGTAAGGTATGGAGTGATGGTATCTTCCACCATAGGGGGAAATGCTTCTTTCTCTCTTGTCTAAGCAATGTGGCATGCGACTCATGTATTGCGTGCTGTCATCAGGAATATGCATGAGATACTCATCTCTGATGCCTCTACTAATCCCTTGCAGGTATCTTCTAAACCTACTCCGATCAGGACTAGTATCTCTTGCGGTTGGAATCCTTGGATGCATGCTGTAAGAATCAACTCTTTCAATCGGTGATCTCCTTCTAAAAGGTGACCTGTAAGAACCCATAAATTGCCTGGTAATACGGTGGCCAGATCTCGCAACACCAGCAGCTTCCGAAGGAATTTGGTCTGTGCCTGTGAGATATTCTCGGTTCCAAAAAACACATTTTGGTCTGGGACGACCGATACTGTCGGGGCAATCATAAATAGGTGGATGCCGCCGCTTAGAATCCCAATAATTAGTTGAAGGATTGAAAACATGAGCACCTCCGGGGCTTCTTCCACGCATCTGTGAACAAGATCTATCCTCCCTAAGGATTTCTTGGAACCAGCGCATCTTCCAGCCCGAGGATACGAATCATTGAAACTGTCGAACCTGAAATATTAAAATAACCAGAATCAATTGAAGTTTGAAATGCAAATCAAAGGGAAGAGACAATTGTGTCCAAAAGTTTCACCTGCTTCTAGTCTGAACATCAGAGGACAATGATCCTTCAACACATGAAAGCAATTCCCTTTTTGATACCTTGGATAAATCAACTCGAAGATCATAATTAGACCCATCCAAGCAATCAATTTTCATAGTTTCACCATCAGACACTTCCACGGTTCTAATCTTCAAGCTCACCGAATTTTTACTCAAAGCCTCGCCCGATTCGCAACATTTAAAATTTGCAGTTAGTTCCAGATTTGATCCTCTTTCTACCTTTAGTTCCTGCTCCCCACTCTCAGCTTCCAAGCCAAATGATCTTTCTTCCTCAAAATCAAATTCAGGGTCATAATCCACCTGTTCAGCTTCCTCCCAGCCCTGAACATCTGATTCCCTCAACTCCCCATCCTTAAATTGTGAATAATAACCAGAACATCCTTCAGATCCCGGTTTCTCTGTACTCGAGTCATCAGGCCCAACAGGAATGGTTCTCAAGTCTGAAGTCGTCCTATTACCCCCAACATCAGATGAAACCACTGCAATTGTAGTGTCATGTTCTATAACTTGAGATTCCTTAGTCTGCAAATGTGAGTCATAACCATAACATCCTTCAGATCCCTGTTTCTCTGTACTCAAATCATCAATCCCAACAAGCATGGTTCTTGAGTCTGAAGTCAACCTATTACCCCCATCAACATAAGGTGAAACCACTTCTTTCATAGCATCATGTTTTGTATGTTGAGGTTCATTAGTCAGCAAGTGTGAGTCATAGCCAGAGCATTCTTCGGATTCCTGTTTCTCGATACCCAAATCATCAGTCCCAACAGTCACCATTCTCATGTCTGAAGTCAACCTATTACCCTCATCAACATCAGATGAAACCTCTTCTTTCATAGCATCAAGTATCGTATCTTGAGGTTCACTTGTCTGCAAATGTGCATCATAACCAGAGCATGCTTCAGATTCCAGTTTCTCTGTACTCAAGTCATCAGTTCCAACAGGCATGGTTCTCTCGTCTGAAGTCATCCTATTACCCCCATTAACATCAGATGAAACTACTTTGTTTGTAGTATCATCTTTTATATCTTGAGGTTCCTCAGTCTGCAAGTGTAAATCATAATCAGGGCATCCTTCACATTCCTGTTTCTCTGTACTTGAGTCATCACTACCAACAGGCATGGTTCTCAAGTCTGAAGTCATCATATTAACCCCACCAACATCATAAGAAATCACTTCATTTGTAGCAACATTTTTTATATCTTGAGGTTCCTTAGTCTGCAAGTGGGAATCATAACCAGAGCATCCTTCACACTCATGCTTCTGTTCACTCAAATCATCGGTCCCAACAGGCAAGGTTCGCAAGTCTGAAGCCGTCATATTATCTCCATCAACATCAGATGGAACCACTTTATCTATAGTATCATCTTTTATATCTAGAGATTCCTTAATCTGCAAGTGTGAATCATAACGAAAGCATCCTTCAGATTCCTGTTTCTCTACACTCAAGTCATCAGTCTCAACAGGCATGGTTCTCAAGTCTGAAGTCATCTTATTACCCCCATCGACATAGGATGAAACCACTTCGTTCAAAGTGTCATTTTTTATATCTTGAGGTTTTGTAGTCTGCAACTCTTCGCTTCGCGCACAAATATCAGCAAAAGAATCCTTTTGAGTATCAACAGCTCCTCCATCACAAAGCCAAGCATCCACTGAAACATTTAAATCCCATAGTAACCTATTATATGGCAAGGGAACAAACTTTTCTGGCGCTGTATCCTTGTCACTAGGAAATTCATGCAAAACAGCAAAGGAATTGTCTTGGAAAGATGAACCCTGAGACTTACTTTCATTTACCGGATCTTTTGGGTAGCTACATGCTGCCTCCACTGATGCAGTAGTTTCTTCCAAATGAGTTGAAGAAGCTGAAGACTGCATCCTCTCTACTGTTGGTTCTTCTACTAATGGATTTCCCTCATATTCAGTAACATCATTGCAGATGCTATCACTGCAAGCAGCAGCTGCAAGTATTTCAATCCCTGAGAAATCCTCGACACCATTTATTACCTCTGAAATCTTCTTATCATCGATACTAGAAACATATGACTTGGCAGAACAATCCGATTTCATGAGCTGTTTCCTCTGTGTGGTGCTTGAACCCAAATTCTGATTTGAAGCAAGGTTAAAATCTACATGCTGTTCAGAGGCTTCAAGGTACAAATAAGGAGTCAATGGAGGTGGAGGTGGTGGTGATGGATATCGGAACACAAATCTCCTTTTCTTAATTGGAACATTCTCTACTCTTTCACAAAAGCGCCTTCCTAGAACATCCACACCAACCTGATAATAATAAAACGGAGAATAAGTTCAAACAAATGAGAGAACCCCAGACTGTAGTTTATAAGTACAAAAGAATACAATGTAACCTTCTCTGACTCTGAAACCGTAACATGCTCCACTGTCCTGGCATTTTTATCAGCCAGCACCATTCCCAGCATCAAGATTTTAGCAACCGGTCTCCTGGTACGTCTCATCACACTCCTATTCCTCTTTGAAACTATCTTCCAAGTCAGGTCAGGATCCATAGGACTTCTGAAGTCGAGACCTACTGTGCTCATCATGCCTGAAGATACAGACCCTATCCCATCAACTGATGATCTAGCACAACAAATCTTGCAGGATGCAGTGGCTTTTTCCTCACTGCTTGACACCAGAGTAGAAGAGAAACTTCCGGTGCAAGTACAAATATGTCTCTGGAAACAATTCAAGCAAAGATCCAATAAAATAAGTATCTATATAGCTTAGTTTAAAAAAGCGCCGCTTAAGCGCGATTAAAGCGCTAAGCGACTCGAGCGAGGCCTCTGGCGCTTCAGCATAGCAAAAGCACTACGACTTCATTAAGCGGTAGTAATCGGCGCTTTTACAGCGCTTTGCTAAAAGCGCTAATCGGCGCTTAATCGCGAATTTAGAACATAGGATTCTGGGCTTTAGCAAATATAATTTTTGGGCTTGTTTAGGGTTTAGTGGGCTATTCAGGCTTAGATTGGCTTTTAGTTTAGGTGGGCTAGGGTAAAAAATGTGATTGAAATAAGCAGTAATATAAGAATTTAGAGAACGATTGAGGTTGACCTTGAGCAGTAAAAAATTCCCAGAGAGCGATCATCTTTCACGCCTCTCGCTTCTCGCCTCACGCTCACGACTCCTGACTCCTGACTCACGACTCAAGTTTTGATCATCATCTTCCTCTCATCTCACTCGAGTCACGCTGCTGCTGCACTTCATCAACCGGTACGTAATTATGTTGTTTATATACTTATAGTTTATTGCAAAATTGTGTTTTATAGTTTATAGAATACTGTTCTTCTTTATAGCTTATTGCTTTCTCCTTCTTTAAGTACTTAGTATTGCTGAATTTTACATGTAGACTAAGACAAGCAAAATGCTTGTTAAACTGTTTTATAGTTGTTACTGCCTTACTGGTATAATTTGTAACTTTGTATACTGGATTACTGGTATTGTTCTGTTATTTTAGTTTGACTTTATGTTTAATTTATCTTTTATAGAATGACTTCAATGGCGGGTAAGGCGGGTTCTTCAAAGAACGGGTCAGAAGACCCGGTTAGGAAATATACAATACAAGATCCGAATAATAAAATCAGCTTTACATGCTCTTTTTGTGGACAAACATTTAAGGGAGGTGTGTTTCGGATCAAACTGCATATGATTGGTGGTTTTAAGGATGCTCGTAAATGTCCAAACTGTCCGGAGCATGTGCGGGAAGAATTAAATGTGTTCATGATGAAGAAACAAACGGCAAAGGCAGAACAACATATGCAAGCAAAAAACTGGATACACCAACAACAAGCTGATGAATACGATGGTGAAGAAGAAGATGTTGTTGAAATAGGCGGCCGTAGTAGCAAGATGCCCCCACCCAAAAAACCAAGGCAAAAAGGTCCTATGGACATGTACTTCACTCCTAATCCTCGAGAAGCAATCAAAGCTAGGAAGGAAGGGAGACAACAAACCATCAATGAAACGTGTCGAAAGGACCTTAGGGATAAAGTTTGTCATGAGATTGGGAGGTGGTTTTACGATGCAGGTATTATAAATAATTAAATATTTAATGTTTTTTGAGTTTTAAGTTGCTGGAAGTCTTTTTTTTGTTTATGCTGATGGAAATTTTTTTTATGTAGGCATTCCTTTTAATGCCGCAACATATGAGAGTTTTCAAATAATGATCGAAGCAATCGGACAATTTGGCCCCGGGATGAAAGCACCAAGTATGTACGAGTTAAGAGTTCCCATACTTAACAAGGAAGTAGAGGAAGTTCAAAACCAAATTGTGGAAAATAAGAAAGAATGGGCAGAAAAAGGTTGTTCAATACTATCGGATGGATGGCGTGATTCCGTTGTTCAAAAAGATATCATCAACTTCCTGGTAAACTCCCCAAAGGGTTCTGTCTTTGTGAAGTCACTTGATGTATCTGATGTTTCAAAGGATGCTGATTTGTTGTTTCATGTTCTTGATAAAATGGTGGAGGAAGTTGGTGAAGAGAATGTGGTGCAGGTGGTGACTGATAATGCATCAGCTTATGTGAAGGCAGGTAAGAGTTGAGTTGCAACTTTAGTCTTTTGATAATCTTTTGTCTAATGTCATCTACTCATCTTATTCCTCTAACTTTGTAGGGAAGTTGTTGGAAGCTAAAAGACCACGTCTCTATTGGACACCATGTGCTGCACACTGCCTAGACTTGATGTTGGAGGATATTGGCAAAAACATTCCTAGGGTTAAAAATGCTTTAAAAAAGGCCATTTACTCAAATGGATATATATATTGTCATGTTGGTTTGGTGAACTTGATGAGAAAGTTCACAAACCAAAGAAACTTGCATAGACCGGCCATCACAAGATTTGCTACTTCCTTCATCACTCTTGCCCAAATCCACAAACAAAAAAACAATTTGAGGAAGATGGTGACTTCTCAAGAGTGGGAAGCGAGCAAGTGGTCTAAAGTCTTACTTTTTGCAAGAAACGTTTTGGAGGAATGTACTTTATTCTCTCAAGTTGACGGGCCCCTTAGTGAAAGTTCTTAGACTAGTTGATGGAGAAAAAAATCCAGCCATGGGGTACATCTATGAGGCAATGGATAGAGCTAAGGAGGCGATTCGTGATAGTTTTCCGAATCGAGAGGATGATTACAAGAAAGCTTTTGAAATTATAGATCATAGGTGGGAATGTCAACTACATAAACCTTTGCATGCTGCGGGACATTTCTTGAACCCGGGGATCTTTTATGATGAAGTTGGTGGTGTGCTTTGTGAAGAAGTTGAAAACGGTTTTTATGAATGCATGTTGAGGCTTGTTCGCGACCAAGAAACTCAAGACAAGATTTCAGACGAGTTAGTTAAATACCGAAAGGCAGAAGGTCTCTTTGGTATTAGCTTGGCTGTTAGGCAAAGGAAAACAAAATCACCAGGTAAAAAATGCTACTTTATATTTTAAGTTTTAAATTATATTAATTATTCTCTCAAATATAGTTTATGCTTCAAGTTCATTTTACATTTTTTATAGCTGATTGGTGGACAATGTATGGATCTTCGGCTCCCAACTTGAAAAACTTTGCTATACGGATTCTTAGTCTCACTTGTAGTGCTACAAGTTCTGAGAGAAACTGGAGTGTTTTTCAACAAGTAAGTTATTTTTACATGTTTTTTCTTAATAATATTGCTGGAAATTATATATATATGCATAATGTTGCTAACATCCAGTTTTGGTTTTTTTCTTGTAGCTTCACACTAAGAAACGAAATAGATTAGCACAATCTAGATTGAATGACATGGTGTTTGTGAAATTCAATCGTGCCTTGGAGCGCCGAGCTAAAAGTAAGGAGATCGATCCCATTCTTTTGCAAGATATTGATGAGAGCAATGAGTGGTTGATGGGAAGAATGGAAGATGATGAAGATGATGATGAGGCGGTGTTTGTTGGTGAGGATTTGACATGGAGTGATGTTGCTGACGCTTCCGGTGCATATGAGCCTAGTTATCTAACTAGAGCATCAAAAGTAGTGAATGATGGAGCCGGACCATCGAGAAATGATAAAGGAAAATCTCCTGCTCATAATCCTATCTCTAGTAGACCATCTCGTAGATGCTTAATTGATGAAGATGAGATGGAAGAAAATATTGGAGTGTCTAGTGATGAAGGAGATGGTGTTGACCGAGTTGATAACGATGACGATTTAGAGGATTTTTAGTTATAAGGAATTGAGGGTTTAGAAAAATACTTTTGTTCATCTCACTTTAGACTACTTTTGGTGTTAGTGTAGACCATCTTTTGAGATTAATATGCTCTTATAGTCGTATGGTTAATGATATATAAGTATTTAAGTGTTTATAACTTATAAGTAAATTGAGAATTATATTTTGTTGTTTAAGTACTTATAAGTTTTGAATATATGCATTGACACTTTGATATTTAAGTATTTATAAGATAATTTATAAATATTCTGTATTTTTTGTGAATTTCAGCCTTTTTGGCGCTTCGTGTGCATAAAGCGAGCGCTTTCGCTTAGCGCTTAGCGCTTCGGCGTCTAGGACCCTAGGCGCTTTAGGGCGCTTTACGCTTTTTAAAACCAAGCTATATAGAACTAAATGTACACATACTGTTACGTATAGAAATATTGTATCAGAAAAATTCCACAGTAGTTTCTGAATAAAATAAATATCAACTGATGACTTTTTTTATGAAATTTTGCGGTTTTAAAGTACTTTATGTCAAACAAACTACAAGGCGAAGGAACTTACAGTTAATTTGGTTCCTCCAATCTTGTCAGATATTTAACAATACAGATATCACTATAAAACACGAGTCTTCAACAGGTTAAGTGTCTATCCTTCCTGCATAACAATATCAAGGAACAAGATCAGCCATATATACACATAAAAAAATTTAACACAAAAATATCAAACTTGTTCTGCTTAAGGATCCAATCCACTTAATAAAAGATATATTTATCACCACATACTGAGCCCTAGAGCTGACAATAAGAGTATCAGCATAAGCCTCCAAATGCCATTTACTTTGAGGCAGATCACGATGACAAGTTTTGACGTCCAGGAAAAATTTCCTCGGGATAAAACTAGTCAAATTTCGGATGTTTCCCGAAATTTTCACCTGATCATTGTTTCTATTTACCATTATATTTGCTTTTAGTTCAGTTTTGATTTACCCTCAACGATTCAAAAAGAAAAAAAAAATAGAGGAACCTATCAGAAACCAAAAACCAAAGATATCAAAAGCGAACGGAATCGGAAATGCAAAACAAGGAGGAAAGCAGATAACCTCAAAATCGGGATAGAGGATTTGCAATGGTTCGGAGTATCTACTGAACGATCTGAACCGTCAGCAAGTAGCGCTTGAGGATCAGAAGGATACACGTCAGTCTCGCGACGATCCAACGGTGGGATTCTGAGATCAGAATAAGGACACTTGGAAACTAAGATTCCAGTTTCACCTCTTTCCAGATTGTTTCTAGGAAACCTACACCATAATAAAGAAATAGGAGAGACGGAGCTTCAATTCGGTGGAATAATAAGGCCTATCGGAGGACGGCGGCGGCTATAAGGGTGGCTTCGGGCGGCGACAAAGGCTGCTTTGTCTTGGTGTAGGAAGAGAGAGAGAGAGTAGAGAGAGAGAAAAAAAAGGTAAGGCGAAGAAAAAAGGTGAACATAGAGGATCCGCACCTACCATACGGTTTCGGTTCGACCCGGTTTTATTCGGAATAGTCCAGTGGAAGGAATCGGATCATGCCCTTCATATCCAAGCCCACCATCTAACTTGTACATTTTTTTATAGTATATACATGTTCTATATTTTGGGTAAACTACTCAAAATGTTGCTAAATTTATGGGTTTGTATTATAATATTAAATTTTGATTTTAACTTTAACTTTAATATAAGTAGTGACTGTCTACCTATCTTCAATAGTTTTTTTAATAATATGGAATAAGTATAAGATAATATTTATTTAAATGTAATTTTTAACAATTTAATATTTAACACTCATATCTCTGGCATTTTTTGTTCTCTTTCTTGAAACTTCAAGAAATAACAACAGTTTCTTACCACCGAAATCACTAATAATTTAATACATACGTGCTAACATAGAAGTCAAAAACATAATTTTTTTTATTCACCTTTTCTTCATTATTAAAGTTAAGATTTTCTATTCATTTTTAATTATCGTCGAAAACCATTATTTTAAAATATAATTATCAATTATTAAATTCAAAAGCAAAATTTTCCACAAAAAGAAACAATACACTTCAAAACCAACCTCATTGAACAATTATAGAAGGAAATTAAAGTATTAGAACATCAAATATTTAGATAAATTTTCTTTAATTTTGAAGAAATATTATAAAAAAAACTAATCTAAAGAGAAGACAAAGAATTAATGATTGTCTATACAAATTAAAATGATACGTAAATTAAAGTTGAATGTTTAAAAATAAAATATTTTAAAACTCTGATAAAATCAATATACAAATTAGAATTCATGGAAAGAGGAATGGCCATATTATCACACGGTTAAATCTACCAACTAATTACTTACATTAGAGCCAAAACAAAAATTTGAGAGCTAAAATTAATTCAAACTCTAAAATTAACATTTAGAGTAATTTAGTCTTATATTTTTATGTTACGGTTTTTGAAATATAATTTTTAAAAATATTAATATGTAAATAATTGCCTTTGACATTTTTTTACAATGAAATTATTGTAGTCTTATCCGCCCTCGTTTCACCCATATCTATCTAGATATATGATGTAATTCGATCATTTTCACTTATTTTAATTCACTTGCTAGATATATGATGTTGTCAAAGAGAGGCGCTTCCATCACAAAACGAAGTGCCAACGTTTATAATTTTGCTCAATCAAAAGGCGAGTATAATCTCGTTCCTATGCCAATGAAAATAAAAATGTGTATTAATCTCCATGAATTCCTTTGCTTTGTGCATAATCAAACTAGAAAATGAAGCATAATTTCAGCTATGTGGAAAGAGAGTAAAGAGGTAAAAAAAAAACAAATTTCTTTGCTAAGGGAAAGCTAAAACTATAACTGAAAAAACTGAAACAAAAAACCCAACTAGCCAAATACAAGCATATGATTTAGGTAAAGAGAAAAAGATATTACCTCTTCTAGTTTTCATGTCACCCTTTTCTAGTTGCATTAAAAAGAATTCACCTATCTTCACCGGCTGTCCTAGGTGCATCAGCATCATCGGGGTGCCTAGATGAGACACCATTGGCATTAGTCATGGTTAAAGAGTTCTTAGCCATGTACGAATCTTCTTCATTTTTCCGAAACTGACGGGCTCCACCGTCTGTATCATAACACCTCGACCGGTGAATCATTGCATATCTGCTGCTGCTATGTTTACCATCATCATTTACTACATATTTACACCCTTTACCACCAGCAGTCTTATCAGGAAATCTTCTAGGTCGAATCATGGGGTTGAAGTGATCATCTGAATTCAATCTCCGACTGGGACACACTTGATCAAACCTTTGGTCTTGCTGAATCATCCTCACGTGTGATTTCCGTCCCCTAAAATGGTCCAAACCAGAATGGTGATCCTCAAATATCCGGGAATTTCGCTTTGGTGAAACACGACTCCGAGGTGGCGATATGAATTCTGCATAACCAGCAGCAGCAAATCGCTTGGAAAAAGGCAACCTCACTCTATCCATTCTAGCATCAGACCTAAAATCTGGTGACCTGTTGCGACGTCGTGAATCCTCATTTCGATCCCTTTGCAACAACCAATCAATGGGAGAAGGGCTCCTTGATCTTGATCGAGCTCTCTCGTAAGGTACAGCATGCTGAGGTCTTCCACCATGGGGAGAAATGCTTCTTTCTCTCCTGTCTAAACGATGAGGCATGCGACGCATGTATTGTGTGCTGTCATCAGGAATAAGCCTGAGATATTTTTCTCTGATGCCTCTACTAACCCCTTGTGAAAATCTTCTAAACCTATTCCGATCAGGACTAGTATCCGCTACAGTTGGCACCCTTGGATGCATATTGTAAGAATCGTCTCTTTCAATTGGTGATCTCCTTCTAAGGAGTGGTCTGTAAGAGGCCATAAATTGTCTGGTAATGCGGTGGTCAGGTCTTGCAACACCAGCAGCATCTGAAGGTGCTTGGTCTGTTCCCTCGGAATATTCTCGATTCCCAAAAGCACCTTTTGATCTGGGGCGCCCAAAATTGTAAGGGCCGTGATAATTATGTGGATGCTCCCGCTTAGAAGAATCCCAATAATTAGCTGAGGGATTGAAAAAGCGAGCACCTTCTGGGCTTCTGCCTCGCATATGTGCAGATCTCTCACTCCCCATGAATTTATCAGAACCCGAGCCTCTTTCAGCTCGAGTATATGAACCATTAAAATTGGCAGGCCTGAAATATTGGAATGATCAGAAATCAATCAAAATAAAAAATGTACATGAGAATTGAGTCCCTAAGTTTTACCTGCTTTTCAGAACATCAGAGGATAATGATCCTTCAACACAAGAAAGCATTTCCTTTTTCGATTCCATAGACAAATCTACTCTGAGATCATAATTAGACCTATCCAAGCAATCAAATTTCATAGTTTCACCACTAGACATTTCCATAGTTCTAATCTTCAAGCTAACTGAATTTGTCTTGAAAGCCTCTCCCGTTTCACAACATTTAGATTTCTCAGCTAGTTCCTGCTCATCACTGTCGGCTTCCAAGCCAAGTGATCTTTCTTCCTCACATTCAGTGTCATAATCCACCTGTTCAGCTTCCTCCCAACAATGATCATCTGATTCCCTCAACTCCCCGTCCTCAAATTGAGAATCATAAACAGAGCATCCTTCAGATTCATGTTTCTCTGTACTAAAGTCATCAGTCCCAACAGGAATGGTTCTCAAGTCTGAAGTCATCCTATTATCGCCATCAACATCAGATGAAACCACTTCATTTGTAATGTCATTTTTCGTATCCTGAGGTTCCTTAGTCTGCAAGCGTGAATCATAGTCAGAGCATCCTTCAGATTCCTGTTTCTCTGTACTAAAGTCATCAGTCCCAACAGGCATGGTTCTGGAGTCTGAAGTCATCCTATTACCCCCATCAACATCAGATGAAACCACTTCGTTAGCAGTTTCATTTTTCATATCTTGAGGTTCCTTAGTCTGCAAACGTGAATCATAGCCAGAGCATCCTTCAGATTCCTGTTTATCTGTACTCAAATTATCAGACCCAACAGGCATGATTCTAGAGTCTGAAGTCATCCTATTATCCCCACCAACATCAGAGGAAACCACCTCTTTTGTAGTATAATTTTTTAAATATTCTGAATCAAAACCAGATTGCCATTCCTCTACACTCAAATCATCAGTCCAAACAGGCATGCTTCTCAAGTCTGAAGTCATCTTATCACCCCCATCAATATCAGATGAAACAACTCCATTTGTAGTATCATCTTTTATATATTGTGAACCATAACCAGATTCCTGTTTCTCTGTACCCAAATCATCAGTCCCAGCAGGCATGCTTCTCAATTCTGAAGTCATCCTATTACCCCCATCCACATCAGATGAAACCACTTCGTTTGTAGTATCAGATTTTATATCTTGAGATTCCATAGTCTGCATCTCTTCACTTCTCACAGAAATATTATCAACAGAATCCTTTTGAGAATCGACATTTCCTCCATCACAAGGCCAAGCATCCATTGGAACATTTAAATCCCAGAGTAATCTATCATCTGGCAATGGAATGAACCCTTCTCGTGTTGTGTTCTTGTCACTAGGAATTTTATGCAAAACAGCAAAGGAGTTGTCTTGGAAAGATGAACCCTCAGACTTACTTTCATTTACCGAAAGGTTCGTACCCTTACCACTAGGAAATTCATGCAAGGGAGACCTTTCTGCTGCTGTATCCTTGCCACAAGGAACTTCATGCAAAAAAGCCGAGGAATTGTCTTGGAAAGATGAACTCTCAGACTTTCTTTCATTTACTGAATCTATTGGAAAGCGATACGCTGTCTCCAGTGATGCAGTAGTTTCATCCAAAAGAATTGAAGAAACAGAAGACTGAATTCTCTCCTGTGTTGATTCTTCTACTACCGGATTTCCCTCATAATCAGTAACATCATTACAGATGCTATCACTGCAAGCAGCAGCTGCAAGTATCTCAATTCCTGAGAAATCCTCAACACCATTTATTCCATCTGAAATCTTCTCATCATCGATACTAGGAGCATATGACTTGGCAGAACAATCAGATTTCATGAGCTGTTGCCACTGCTCCGTGCTTGAACCACAATTCTGATCTGGAGTAGCTTGAAAATCAACATGCTTTTCAGAGGCTTCAAGGTGGGGACAAGGGGTCATTGGGTGTGGTGGTGACGGAGACCTGAACATAAGCCTCCTTTTCTTAATTGGAACATTTTCCACTTTTTCACAAAAGTGCCGTCCTAGGATATCCACACCAAGCTGCTAATAGAAAAAAAAACAGAGAATTAGATGAAACAAGTGAGAAACCATTGTGGGTAGTTTTATAAGTACAAATTAATGTAATCTTACCCTCTCTGACTCTAACACTGTAACATTCTCCATTTTTCTGGCATTTTTATTGGCTAGTCCCAATCCTATTGTCATACTTATAGCAGCAACTGATTCCTTGGTACGCCTCATCCCTCTCCTATTCCTCTTTGAAACTGTCTTCCAAGTCAAGTCAGAATTCTCAAAATTTGTGTGATCCACACCAACTGTGCTCATCATACCTGAAGATACAGATACCATCCATCAATTAATGGTCTACCACAACAAATCTTGCAGGATGCCATGGCTTCTTGCTTAATACTTGACACCAGAGTAGAAGAGAAACTTCAGGTGCAAGTACAAAAATGTTTCTGGAAACAATTCAAGCAAAGATCCAATAAAATAAGCATCCATGTAGAACTGAATGTACACGTACTGTTACGTATAGAAATATTGTATCAGAAAAAATCCACAAGTGGTTTTTGAATAAATTAAATTTCAACTGATGACGACTATTTTTTTTATGAAATTTTGTGGTTTTAAAGTCCTTTATGTCGAACAAACTACAAGGCCAAGAAACTTACAGTTAATTTGGATCCTCCAATCTTGTCAGATATTTAACAATATGGAGATTACTATAAAACCCGAGTCTTCAATATGTGTCTACCCTTCCTGCATAACAACATCAAAGATAACGATCAGCCATATGTACACAAATAAAAACTGAACAGAAGTTCAAATAAAAGAAGCTTAAGCATCCAATCCATTTATAAACAGATATTTATCATCACATATTCATCCCCAGAGCTGATAAAGACACTATCAGCATATGCCTCCAAATGCCATTTACCTTGAGGCAGATCATGGTGACAAATTTGATGTCCAGGACAAATCCCTTCAATTGAGAATGTAATATTTCACAAATTTTGTTCAAAAATCTTGGAATCAGAGTTCTTCGCATGCAACAGAATATATACAGTAAAAGTTTCATCAATCATCATCAAGTATACAGTTTTGACAAACTGTGTACTTTTCTATGCATTATTACTTCATATGAACTTCGGGTAATAATAGGAAGTATGGTTGTTTCGATCTATGCCCAAAAAAATTGAAATGGAAGCTTGACCAAGAGCCAAAAAATCAGTAAAGATCATGTCTCCTTTGAAGTAAAAAATTATTCCTCCCTTCAATAGCCCTACACCTCTTTTCTGCAGCTAAGGTGATTTTAATTTCACAAACAAGCACATGAGGATCCTTAAATCAGAATAAGTAACCCAAGATCCATAGATCCAAATCACATAAACATTAAAAACACCAAATTTGTCATCAGAAGATAACACATCAGCCTATTGACGCATCAAAATAAGCAATCAGTTCATCTAGCAAAAAATAAACATCCTAAAGTTTCTATCTAATCAGCCTATCGACGAATCAAAATAGCTCCCAGAACAGTGTTTCAAGTCTTGATTTAAGCAGCAGCTAGATTGATTTCGATAGAGTGAACTAAATTAGAAAAATAGCCTAAAATCGTCGCAGATGTGACTTCTACTTATGTAATAATAACTCCTTCCACAAAAGCTCCTGCAGCTATAGATGCCAAGAGCCTCATGGACGAAAAATTCCCAGAATAAATTTTTAATCAATTTGGTGCTTAATGTTAATATAGAAGACCCAGAAATTGAAAACCCCGTCTCTTCAACAAATTTCTTCAAAGAAAAAGCAAAAACCCCAAATCTGCTCATCCTCTGATTAAGATTCTTTGAAGCTTGAACAACGGAAAAACCGATTTTGGAATAAGAGGGTTAAAAACAACCACAAACAAAGGGTATGAATCCAAAATCTAGGGTTTCTTAATACCTGTTTTCCATTTATTTTTTTTTTAAAATAAAATAAAGAAATAAAAATCGCCTCAGCCAATCGGTGATATGTCGAAAAATCCTTACCCAGATTTCAAATCAAAACATTCACCATCTCCAACGAAAAAACAAATTCACCCTTAAAAAAACATCCTCCGTAGAGTTTAGCTCTCTAAATCAAATACATAACGAAATCCCAATTATCGGGGACTTTCAAAACGCCCATTTGGAACTTCTAATCGCCGATTAATACAACCTTGTTCGTGTTTCTGGTGTGTTGGAGGCGTGAAAGGGTTTCCCTGATTGGATCAACACTGGAAAAAATATATATGGACCTTCCAATCGCCGATTTTGCCTTAATTCAAAGTCTCAGTTGGGAGTAAAGGAATTTTGGAAACGAATACATAAAAAGATAAATAAAATAAGATAAAATAATAACTCTGGAACTCTCGATATCGGTACTTACACATCAAAGCCAAATTGCCCTCCCATAAGTCAAATAGTGACCAATCAAAGGCGCAATTTATTGACTCGCTATAAAAATGTCAATATTTTATTAATTTTAGGATAATATCATTTGGTATCTATACTTTAATGAAATATTCGATGTGATACACTGATACATATTTTTTATATTGTCCAATGTGGTGTCTATCATTTGAAAAACTCTTCAACATGATACCTATACTTCAATAAAATGATCAATGTAATAGCTATATTTTTAAAATATTAAATGTGGTATCTATAATTCGTTTAAATGTCTAATATGATGCGTGAACTATCGTTCTGTATTATTATGATACATAAATTAAAAATTTGAGTTAGTGTTATACTTGAACTATCAATTTGTATGTTGTTTTGATAAATGGGTTAACACTATTAAAATGCTTTAAATCAATAAATGAAAATTGGTGTGTGTTATATTAATACACATAATGATAGTTTATGTATCACACTGAATATTTTATTGAAGTACACATATCACATTGAGTATTTTAAAAAGGGATGTACCACATCAGACATTTTATCAAAGTACATCTATCGAACCTGATATTATCCCTTACTTTTAATAAACTTGGTACAATTATGAGTTTCATCCCTTTACTTCATAAAAAAAATGATATTATCCCTTTACTTTTAATAAAACTGGGTAATGTTGTTAAACCTTCATGTTGAATTAGTGATCTAAAAAATTCAAAAGTTTACATGAAAGTATAAATCAACATTTTAACAATTTATACAATAAATTCACAAAAAAATAGTTCAAGTTTATGGGTGATTATGCGATGCGATAGTCTAATTTAGAACATTTACAACTTAAAATGTTATCAGGCTAACTTAAAAGATTACACAAATTTGTAACATTTTCGGTTGTAACCAAAAATTTATATTGTCAGGATTTAGGGCTTACCACTGAAAATGTTATGAATAATGTAACTTTCTCGATTGCAATATATTAAAACCTAAAAAAGTATTTTGTTCTCCCTAAAAATTTACGCTATTGATAAAATTTTTAGTTACAACCAATATATGTCATTTTTTAATCTTACTTTAACAAGTTGTATTTTAGAATTTCCTCAAATTTATGTCTCTATCAATAAATAAAAATGTGATACCTAATTCATCTAAAAATAAAAATGTGGATACCTTCCTTCTCTCGCATTGTATGATATTCTGTTATTTTAATTTGGGTTTCGGATTCTTTACTTTTGTCCCAATGAAGGAACCCACCAACCAAAGTAAAGAATATATGAATATGTCTAAGTATATATAATATATAATTTGTAATGAAATAAAAATTACGATTAAATAATTTATATCACATTAATTTAAGTGGGACAATTGACAAAAAATATCAAATAAAATTATATTTTAACAAATATAAAATTAATGTATATTGATTTCTTTTAGTTGAAATAATAACTGAATTATCTATTTTTTTTAAAAAAAAAATACTCATTTTTAATACCTATTTTTCATTCATAAGAATGCAAATATTTATATAACTTATAATATGAAAGTAGAGAAACGGCATCAATTTGAATTACCAAAATTGTTAATATATTTAATTTATGTTCAACAATTTGAATAACAAATATTATATTACATTAATTAAATATATATTATAATAAATTATATGAATAAAATCAAGTATAACACATGTGACATTAAAATTTGTAATTCTGATGTATTTTATAATTCAAATTTAAAAATATAAAAATTATTTAAATAATAGTAGTTACTTTTAAACTAAAAATTAAATTGAATCAAATATATTTAATTAAAAAATATAAACGAATAAAAATCAAATCCAAACCCAATAAATCATTGGGTCAAAACATTTCCAATTTTGTCAATTGTGGATTCAAACGGCCTGATGCAACCGTGAGCCCAGTTTGTTGTGGCCCATGGCCTGTCATAAAACGGTGAAGTCCTTTTATGTGAAGTTATATATGATTTCCCAAGCGGAAAAAGTATTTAGGATTTAAATCTTATATTTAAGATTTAGGATTTAGTGTTCAGGGCTAATAATTATAGTTTAAAGTCATTTAAATATGCTATGTGACAATTTTTGAATAGTCCGAGATGATTATAAGGTAGTATTTGTTTATATTTTTCTTTAGTTATCGACAATTACACACCTCATAGATGTGGTTGTTCGAGCTTGAGTCATCTAGAAAAAAAACAACATTCCCTTTAAATATTTATGTTACTAACATATGAATACACAAGTCAAAGGAGATTTTCGATACTTTATTACTTTCTCTGATGACTTCAGTAGATAAGACAAGTGAAAAGTACAAAATTCAAATTTTATAATTTTTTATAGTCAAATGATCAAAAGAGAAAAACACTAATAATCGAGTGATTCTTTGCATAGCTTATCATATAAAAGTGCAATGACGTGTGACCAACAACAGTTCTTATACAATAATTAGACTAAAATATCCAACATTATTATTAATACAACAAACACATCTTTTCCCGACTTTGATTTGAAGAAAAGAAAAACGTTTTCGTAGTAGCATTCTGTCTTACCTAAGCCTCTCAGGTCATCCTTGTGGCACCTTAGATACCTGCAACTTAAGAGAAGAAGGAAACCTCGTAAGCTTCTTCATATCATTTGGTCACAATATTTATGTCAAAAGTTGTAGAAATGTGCCTTAAGAAAAAAAGAGATGGTTACCCTATTAATTGAGTAATATATTAACTTGAAACCTCGTGACACAATCGATTTGAATGAAGCTTGTCCCTCACGGAACAAAGCTTGACAAAGACATTGTTCATGTTGATCTGTTCATTCGGTGATTCGAGGGAGCATACAAGTCCTATTTTAAATATTGAAATCAAGCATTGAAGATGCATGTATCTCATTTCCCAAGTTGTTCCCATGGAGAATAATTTCTCTAAGTCTTTCTTGAAGAAGAATGAGATCTACAATCTCCATCATCCGTTCAAGCAAAGTAACCTTAACAAAGTTGCGAGGACTAAAACCTTCTTTAACCCTTTCATTGGTCGGTTTTTCCCCCGAAAACATCATAGGATGCCATAACAATACACATTACCTTTTGGTGAGAACTTACTTCCAATGCCATATTCTACATTAATTCATCACAAATTACTTGTACAAATAATTGTAAAGGAACTATATGCATGATGTATTACTTGGTTGATATTTCTGTTATAACTAATTAAGAGTTAGTTGGGCTCATTATAAATGCCCAATTGTGTTTGTGCTTATGTTTTGCACTGATATTTCATTCAATAAAGAATATTTTGTTTCTTCTTAAAAGTCAAACATCTTGACTACCTTTCTCTTTATTCAGTTTCTCTCTTTTGTTAACTGTGTTTCTTCTATCCTTACCGTTGTTTTTTTTACTTTGACCACCGGACTTCCACAGTCATTGACGGGAGGAAGAACATATTCAAAGACAAAGGTCATTTATGGTGGATGGCCTAGATTAGGATTTAAGAAGTTTACAAATCTTGGTGTGGTTTTCATCATATTGGAGAGAGATCATAGAGAATCTAATAATATGATGATCGAATGGGGAGATCAATGTGAATTTTATGGTGTAATGTGAGGTTCACCGCCCACAAGGAATGCTAGATTTTATATTCCATATGATATGATTGTTACAATTGATTAATTGAGTGATTCGATTGTAACTTTTTGAAATACATGAATCTTTTAATGAATACAATATTACACACCAAACTTTCATTTTAATGGAAGGGTTATAGATTAATTGAGTGATTTGATTATGATATTTTAAAATTCAGCAATCAAATTGTAATTTTACTAATAATCGAGTGACCTATTTACCTTTTTTTCACCTAAGAAATCAATTAACTTTTTTCATAATTTTAAAAATAATGGTGTATGCAGGCTCCATAATTGTGAACCTGCTGCTCCATAGAATCAACCTTTTCGTCAGCGTTTACTTGAGAAGTCTCCCTCCCTCAATTTCGTATACAAAAAATTAATGTTTTCTGAATACATAGATTTATAAATGTCAATGTAGAAAGTGGTGGCAAAGTAACGCAAGAATGACACAGTTATGTCTACGATTATGACGGGATTGGTACAAAATAGGATGCATATAAGCTTCATAGCGTAGGCATTGGGGCAATATGGCTTCAATTTTACAGCGTTTCCATTACGTTCGCAATTCTAATGTTGATGGATGTCAGTTGTCAAGCATTTGGAAGAATTATTTAGTACCAAAGATTC